ATTAATTTAATGGACATATTACATTTGTTTTAAGTGAGATATCATGTTTATGTGACAAAACAACTCTTGATGCTCTAGAAATAACATTTAGTTTTATTGAACTTGAAAATGAATTATTATCCTGTTCTGCATTAACTATTTTTTCAAATAATTTATTATGAAAAACGTAAAAATATAAGAATATTGATAAAGAATTAGGTGTATGACCACAGTATTAGTATGGGGGAAATCCCAATGTTACCCATAGACAGATCATAGTCCTTTAAATATATATATGATAATAATAGAAAATACATGTGTCTGCCAGTGATGACATCACTCTAAAGTCTGACTTGCTCCTATCAGTCTCTCCATAATAAACTGTTTCATATGAAAACAACGAAAACAACAACGATTGTGTTCCGTTTCTGTTCATTTGACTTCATACAGTAATGTACTGAAGGTGTTTTGTTTGAGTATTGGCACTAAAACCAGGCTGAAAAATGATAAAGATTACACATGGTGATTAAGTAGTTCACATGCAGTGCTCCTCTGTACACCCACCTTGGTCAGTTTTGGTGGCAGGCTTCCAGTTCTCTGCGCTGATCACAGGCAAGCACACCTGGCCCTTCTCATCAATGTTGGGGTGGTAGATCTTTGTCTTGAATGTGATCTTGGGAGGCTTGAAAGGGTACTCGGTGGGGAAAATGATTTCGATTCTGAACGCACCTTTGTCATAAGGAGGGTTGTCCTGTAAGGGAACAGAAGAGGTCAGTGAGAGGAAGTGTGGGCCAGCAGATGGCAGAGCAGTCATTAAGAAGGGGCTAGGGTAAATACAGATAAGATATATACTTTATTAATCCCAAATTGGGATATTTCTTTCTTTACAACAGCATGTTAAAACAAAGTTATTGCACATCATTTGGAAAGTAAAAAGAGTAGAAAATAAACAAACATGAATATCTCAAAAAATAAAACAGAAATAAAAGGTAAATATACTTACAGGAACAATGAGCCCTTGCCATGACAATAGGTTTGATTCCTCAACTTGAATGTTTCGGAAGTTTTTCATTCCAGACCTGCGAATCTCTTCAAGTTCCTGAGAAAACAAGCAAACAATAAATATTAGAGGTGAGTTTTGAAATGTCAAATTCTGTACCTGGGGATTAAATATGAATTGCTTTGTGATCTCTGAAGGTCTTACCATACTTAATGCATTATTTTAGTGACAGCAAACGTATATAAACATTAAAAATGTTGCATAAGAGAAGGAGGCGGTGGGAAGTGCAGGCTGTTCTTGTCCACTTCCTCAGAGTTCTGTGGTTCAATAACTGATAGTGCTACCTGCAGCTAGACTTGCAAGAATTTTGCTCACAGGGAAAAAGCCCAGGAGTGATGCCATAGTTTTTGCTGCACTAGTGACTTTTACTGGCTGGTGAGGCTGCATGCAGAATTGGGAATGGAACTGATGAGATTGTATTATCCGTGAGTCCGCCTTAAATCTGCCTCATGTCACAGCGGAGGCACTGATCAGAAAGTGGACATTAAAGAAGAAAAATCCTAAATTAAATTAAATGTTCTCTAAATATGGTGTCATTCATGTCAGATGATTGATTATGACAAACTGATTCTCAAGAAAGAGAACGTTTTTTTTTATTTCTGTTAAATTGTGCCCATATTCATTAAAAAAAAAATGCAAAAGCTGCAACACACACACCAACACTATACTTCACCTATCAAGATGTTGTAGTTAGTCAACTTTATATCATATGCAATTGGTTCACGTTTAATTTAGTTTATTGCAGTGCTATTTTATTATAAGTGTAGTGTGCTGAGACGCCCGTGACTGGCTAATACTTTGTACTCGTCCTCCCTATATCATAAAGACACCGGTGCCGAGTGGGACTATTAAGGGGCTTTTCTGATAATCTTAAAATATGGTGAGAAGTATGAAGGGAGGTTAACACAGTATGTTGTCCAACATACAGGTCTTCATATTTCATATAGAACAAAGATACGCCTTGTAGGCCTTGAGCATGATCGTCAATCACTGTCGTCTACTTAGCCGGGTCTGACAGATCCTGCTGAATCCACATATTTTTTAATCAATTTAGTATTGTTACTACGTTAAGATCTTAGCTAAATGTTAATTTTGACCTGCTGTATAATGATGTGAAATAAGGTAAAGCCTCGGTCTGTTTTGGGCCTATTTCCTTGTTCTGTTCTGCCAGCTAGCTTTAAGGCTCCATGTTGTTGTGTGTAGCTCCTGTACAGCCTCGTTACCTCATTGTCTGGGTACCGGGAGATCATATCCTTACAAAGAACTACCGCCTGGTGCTTGCATATAACAGCAATGAAAAAATGAGAGCTGTGAATTTACTTTAAATTAATCCCCGCCAATCCAAACCCGGCTAACTTGAGTGTAGCTAAAACTCGCTTGCTAGCTAGCGTTAGCTGAAACGTAGCTCAGATCTGAGGCTAGCACGTTAGCTGATTAGCAAGCGCCTTATGCCGAGCAAATCCACTCACGCTCTCTGTCGGCCACATCTAAACTCAATTCGCGGTCACACAACAACAGCTACATGGAAGCTATATATAGGTATTAAACAGAACATGTGTCCCGTGTTAGTCTTCAGAAGGCTGACTATCGAGTCTCTGGCCTAATTTTGCCGGTGCTTTGCTGCTAGGCGATATGATTTGGTCGGCTAACGGCATCACGGTGGACAGTAGTGACCTCTCGTTTATATTAAGTTAACAGTTAAAAATAGCCTCTTAATGTTTCTTCATACAACATGTTCTCATATTCGTTAAGATGAATAACGAATGAGTACACTGGCCTAAAATGCGTTTTTACAGATAATAAATAATATGAAAAGAACGGATCGGGAGATTTACCTTGGCCAGCCTCCTGCTCGCCGCCATCTTGATACTACTGTGTGTTCCCAGAATTCACAGCGCGGCGAATATGGGGCTGGAGCTCCGGCTGAGCATCAGCCATCCGGTTAACTAATGGATGCAATTCCACATCCATAATATATCATGGATGTGTATAAGTCATCTATAAAATAAGATTCTTACAGGCTGAACAGAAGCCCTTAAGTTTATCTATATGTTTGGGCTACATGCGTGGGTTAACTACAGATTTAGGATAGCCATCAATTAACTACAAACTTAATATCAGCCATCAGTTAACCCCATGGTTAACCCCAGTTGAGAAGAAAACCTTAATCTTAAAGTTACAGGACGACTTTTTTTATTTTGTTTAGGATTTTAGAATATTGTCAAAGATGTGCATTCCATAAAATGGACCAAAATATGTGCAACTCTGTGATAACGTAAAGCTAATTTGGAATTTGCTCCATTTTTTACGATTTTACATGTAGCATCGAAGTGTTACCCATACCTATTCTACCATAGCATGTGTTCATAGCATAGACTGTATATATAATAAATAGTGATAAAATCCTAAAGCACACCATTATCGTTACCCATGGCTAGATGTCTTATCGCTGGGTATTTCCGGACTGTTACTTCAATTTCTCACTCTTATGAACTGAGGCTTAAAAAGTAAGCTACTTGAGTATCAATACATTCATAAATAAGTACAGAAATAAATTATTAAATATTTATAGTCAACACATTTTAAATTAAATGTGATTATCTATTATGTCAAAACTTGCAGTATTGGTTATTTGGGTAAACCAGGCAGAAACTAATCTGCTTGTCTAAACTACAGTTTATTATTTAAATTTCAGTTTTTAGTAGGCTTTTCAGCTTTGACCCAACACAAGTAGTATTGTGTTCATGTGTTTTTCAGGCCTCTGCCACAGAGGGTGCAGAAAGGGACATCAGAATCTAAGTCACCTGAATGTGAAAAAGCTGAATATACAAAAATTCAACCTCTGAAAATCAGATGTTTGCACAACAGGCGGACATCTTGTGACACATTGTGTTGTCAAGTTTCCTTATCAGAACTCCTGCAAGTTGTTTTGTTGTGTTTTTTTTAATTCTCATTGTTGAGGTTTTGGATGTACACGCTTATTGCAGGAATTGCACGTTTTGTGCAATGTAAAACCACCCAATGATGTATCCGTTTTGGAGAGCAGTGCAAAGCTTCTACCTTTTATACCATCTTTGTTGGTTGTGGCACTGGTGGATTTAGAATAGGTGTTCATTTCCCCCCAGTGAAAACAGACAATATTAAATGCATAAAGAAAAACCCCTATAATATATTCACCTCTGAAATTTTAGTGCAACAATGTTGTCCACAACGTTCAGTTTTGCCTCATCCATATTTGTATTTGAGGCAATGCCTTACATTGATGCTATTCTGCTCTCTTCTACAACCAGAGATGTAATCTATCAAAATACCACAGAATAATTTTTATTGAATTCAGCTCGTTTTTGAAAGATAGGCCACAACTAATCATAAACATGACTGGCATATTAGTAAAACACAGGAAAGATTTCAATCTTAAGAACATTTAGTTTTGATACCTGAAAATGTCTCTAATACATGATCAGGCCTTATTTTGTTTGAATAAGGTTTTACCTGTAGTGGAGTTTTTCCACAAATTAGTATGAATGTACATTTCTGTAAGGCTGTTAAATCTGATGTAATTTCAAAGAAAAGCAGATGAAAATATATTGTTATGTTCTTTATGTATCATATATCTTAGCCTATAGTAGCCTATTTTATCAACAGATACAGAGGAGCAAATGTTGACAATGAGAATCTTAAATCTCTCTCCAGATTACAGACTAAACATGTAAAGATCACACAAGTAAAAAAAGAAAGAAACATTGACATTGTGTTATTGTTGTTTTGTTATAAAGATTGTAGTTATAATTCCTGTTTGGACAACAATGCATCATATTCTTTAAAATAAATCATCAATTGTTGTGTTTTGCAGATGATCCAAGGTGGTTATTTAATCTGTTTTGTCCTAAAGAAGTAGGGCAATACTTATTTTCCTCAAAGAAAAGCTATCTTTTATGATTGTCATTTTTTATGTCTTTATATGTCTTCCCCTGATCTCAACTTTTGTGGTATACAAAATGTATAATGTTTATATGTTCTTGAATAAATAAAGGAAAAAAAGCTGGACTGGAGCTTCACTGCCCCGGACTGGAGCTCCACTGCCCGCTGTGTTTCTAAACTGTGGCGTCAGGGCGTCACCTGGAAGTAGTCACTCTGGGCGGGATAACCGGAACAACAAGATGGCGGAGAGTGAAGAGTTTCGGGTAGGCTAAAAGAAAAACACTGATTGTGACTTTCGTCTGTCAACATTAAAACACGTTACAAAAACTTGAAAATAATATGATGTTATAAATATGGCGGTCGGAGCTGACGGGCTCAGAGGATATGGCATTACTTCGCAGAAATATGCACTTTTAAGAGCAGGTCGTTTGCGTTTAGGAAGTTAGCCTTAATGCTAAGAGACGCTAATAGGTCTCTTGTTATTTCACTTCATCTGAAACCCTTGCTGAATTTTATTTTTCACTGTGTCTGGTCGCGGTGTTGTTGTCTTTGTAAGTAGTTGTATAACGCTGTTAAGCAACATAATTGGTCATTAAAACCCTCCTGCACGAAGTCGATTACATGCAGCTATTATCGCGATGATACAACAGCTAGCAAAAAGTTAACGCTATGGTGTCTAAATATCTTTATTTTAACACCTTCATATAACCTTAGCCACACTGGTTTAAAGTCTTTAGGTTTTTTCTTTTATCGTTTTAACAACTTAATAGTTTCATTGTATTGTACTGTTAAGTCTAGACTATATTTTCTGATGTAAACAACTCTTTGCAAACACAAAGCTGAGTGAACAGCTGCTCCGCCGATAACGGATTGATTATTTGCTTGTTCGGTAATATAACGTCTTACGTGATTTAATTTGGTTAAAGGAGGCTGGGAAGTTGTTTTGCTTATGAACTACATGTATTAAACATCACTGTCTAATGTAGGTATTGTTCCTGTGATAATGAAAATACAAGTGATGCTGATAATCATTTAGCGGTGTGAGGCGTTAAATCTCAAAAAATGTAATAATTTACCTAATCTGATAAAGATGTTGTTTTTAACAATGTAACCTTAGAAACGAAGAAACCTGTAGACCCTGAAAGAGTTTAATAGGAAATATAATAATGTGTGCACACAGATTTAATTGATGGTGTTAACAAATTACAAAATCTATTCTCTTACACTCTTGTTCATGTTAATTAATTGTCTTGAATGAATCATTTGTATATTAATTAACTGAACATGACTTAAAACCGTTTTTGAAATTAGAACATACAGTATTCCTAAGGGAGTCACCGATAAAATGATGTATTCAAGTAAACAAACCTGATTGAACCCAGACTTATGATTATTTAAAGTGGACCTATCATGCTATATTTAAATGATATATTGTAGGGCCATACCTATATAAGGTATATTTATACGTTTCTGTTTTCAAAATACCAAACAGATCATGCATTTTAGCCATGCCTCATTTCGCTCTATGTGCTGTTTGCTGTCTACGGGTCTGATTCTGCTGACCACGCCCCCCTGCAGGAGAGGGTAGCCGTGCTCTGATCAGCTGCTGGGCTGTCAGAAGAGGGGGAGAAAAAGAGATCTCCGTCCTCCGTGTTTTATTATATAGAGTCGTTATTCATTTGTTTTAAAGCTTTGTCACCATGGTAACTATGGAAGTCTTCTTCGCTGCTTTTGTGGCAGACTACAGCGCCACTTACAGGCCTGGCATATGTACTACAGCGTCTCCAGCGCTTTCGAGCGGCAATGGCCGGCCGTGGCCCAACCCTACATTCCCCTGATAGGTGGAGAGTTGGCCCAATAGCCGTAGCGCCACTTCTGTGACGACATAGAAGTGTTCAAATCTGGATCAGTCTGTATCAGATCCGTTGCAGCCCCTTTTTTAGAGATTTGGGTATGGAGGAAAATAGAGAGGGTTGTGTTTTCTGACACTTGGTGAGTTCCCTGGAACACCGGGGACACATATTCATGTATAAAAGACGTACAAAAGTGCATTTTGCATGATAGGTCCCCTTTAAGTAATGCCACAAAAGCCTGAAAACCAGATTTCCTCAAGATACAGGTTTTTCATAGAAAACCATGCATATGATACAATGTAATCAAGACTTGTATTGTGTGTTGTTTGGCCTTGATGTTGGCTTGTGGAGTGTCTTCTTGTTTAGATCTTTATCAGCAGTGTTCAGCAGCGCAGGCTTCATCACTTGGTTTAACTATTTCTTCAGTTGTGTAACTTATAGAGGAATCGAGAGTGTCCCAGCTTCAGGTGTTTCTGGGCTTTATTTGGCACGACAAAAGAGGTTGAAAGTCCAAATGAAGGCACTGTCCAGAATAAGTCAAGGATCAAAGACCCTTTGGCCCAATTCCAATCATACTGCTTCCCACTCTGTGACGGAGTGGACTCCGTCTGTAGTCACACTCTCAGCTGAATGACGCTCCTTCTTTAAGGCGGAGGGTGTCAATACATCACATTATGTTGTGATGTCCTTTTTGTTTTCTGTTGTTTTTATGTGTAACTAATGTACCGCAGGTCTCCCTTGAAAAAGAGATTGTTGATCTCAATGGGATTTTTCACCTGGTTAAATAAAGGCTACAAACAATACAGCGACAAGCTTGGGGAATACTTCCTCTGGCAGAAACGGGAACGGTTGTAACTTTTTCTAACCGTAGTTTCAAATCAGCCACTCACTGACTATTTTTAATAAAACTCCCAAATCTTAAGGGGCGTTTAGTTTTTATTTTATTTGTCGATGTTCGCATGGAACTATGTGTACATAGCGTGTTTCATGAGGGACACAAACAGCGTTGCACCTGGTAAGGTAGGTTCAGCAACAGGTTTATCAGGACCTATGCTGTGTGTAGTGGTCGGCCGTGTAGGCGTACTCTCACTGTTGCCCTGTGATGTAGGTAAACAGTCAAAACTGCCTTTTCTGTCAGCAGGAGTCCTTCCTGTAGGAGAGACCTCAGCGTGTTGACAGGAGAAACAGCCGCGTGGGACCACACCAACAGCAGCATGAACCTCCAGCAGCCGGCACCTCTCGTCCCCCCCGTTCACCCTGATGTGCAAATGAAGCCCCTCCCCTTCTATGATGTGCTGGACATCCTCATCAAGCCTTCGAGTCTAGGTGCGCCGTGGAGTTTTCTTTTCTTTTTGCTTTAAACTGTGAGACATGTAACCCTTGGTTCCATCATGACTTGTGGCGGGTATTTTTGAATTATCTCATATACTGATGCAAATGTATTATTCTAGAAGTTGTTAATAATATACCAACAAAACATTTTTCAGGACAATACTTTCCTGAGTAGGTTTTACAAACTAAAACCATTTAAATGTTTTGAATTGTGTAAATATAACCAGCTAGGGAATTGTTTATCACAGGATTATACCACATTCATGTCATATTTAAGCTTGAAGATTTTTTCCATCATACATTTGAAAAATGACGGCAAATGAGACCTAGCAGCACTAAGTCACATGGCCGTGCAAAACGGATAAACATGGCGTATGTCCATTATTTGCCCATGTTTTACCCATCCGTCCCTAATTCTGATACAGATGCTCCATGAAGGTGTAGTTAGTAGTATGAAGTACTTCACTTGTTTTGGTAATATGTGCAAAACCTAAAGGAATACAAAAAGTAACATTATGTTTTTCATGAAAAAACGTTCCTGAGTAGGCTATACACACTAGAAAACCCTTTTAATATATTCAATTGTGTAAATACAACCAGCTGGGGAATAGCTTATCAAAAGATAATTCCACTTTCATGTCAAATTGGTGCAATCATAATGATGAACTTTCATATCAACTTCCAAGACGTATTTGAAACTGGAACATTTTGTGATATATCCGACTTGGCAATAAGTAGTCTAGTAGTGACTGAAAATAAAATATGGAACCTTGATATCAGAAGTAGACTTCAATGAAATTCAACCCAAAGTTTGAGTTATTTGGTCAATTAAGGGTATTTTAATCCTTACATGACCAACATCCTATATGACTAACAAGACTTATACTGGAACACTCTGCCCCTCCATGTGAGGTCGGCCCAGACCCTAGGGGTTTTTAAATCTACACTAAAAACACACTTCTTCTCTCTGGCTTTCTCGTTAGAGCGGAGCACGACTCCTGACTTTTCCTTGTGTTTTTTATTTTTTATTTTTATTTTTTATTTTATTTTTTTTATATATATCTGTTGTAATTTATTGTCTTTTATTGTGATTGTAGTAATGTGTTTTTATTACATGTACAGCACTTTTTGGCTCGACCAAAAATCGCGTTTAAATGTGCTATATAAATAAAACCTGATTTGATTTGATTTGATTATACCTGACGAAGCTAACAGTAGGAAGGGTACAGTTTGTAATTGTTCCGTAGTAAGGCCTAACCGGAGTTGACTGTGTTCCTTAAGTGCCTTTGTCCCTAGTACAGAACTTTAATTGAATTGTGAACACAATTAGCCTTTGTTGTGGAAGAGGGAAAGACTCATGAGAATAGAGATTAGACACTGAACCATCAGAAACAATTCAGACAAAGTTCAGAAGTTTTTTGAGATATTTCTCTCCAGCAAAGTGATCAGAAGTCGAAAATGCACTCTGTGTGTTGGATTTCATTTGCTGATCCTGAAAACACTCGCTACACAGGGCGGAAATCCTGCATCAAGTACCCCCAGGGGTCCACGTACCCCCGGTTTGGAACCGCTACTGTAGTTCATTGAGAGGCAGCACAAATGAAAACATTGAAGGAGATAGGAGGGTGCTACGTGGCTGCAGTGTTTCAGTGCACTCTAAGGAGAGTATTTGAGTTCATGGTGTGGGGATTGTGCAGATGAGTTGGGATTACTGCAGTGATTCATCTGAAAAGGTACCAAAATGGTAACTTTGAGTTCTGTATGAAGGTCACTAATGATGCTAATGTGTGTGTTATTAGCCATGGTATTCACTCTAACTGTCAGTCACCATTTGTGTCTCCAGGAGCGAGTCCTGCACAGAGGTACCACCAAGAGAAATACTTCATCTTTGCCCTGACACCACAACAAGTTCGTGAAGTGTGCATATCCAGGTAGGACTGTTTAATGAAAAGTGACTTGTGGTGTTAAATAATAAATATGATTAGTTTGTTAAACCTTGTTTCTTTGCAGGGATTTTCTACCAGGGGGAAGACGAGACTATATGGTTCAGATTCAACTGAGGTGAGAACTGTCTCTGACATGTAGATATAACATCTTCAAATACTTTGAATCTAAAGGAAAGAAAAACAAATGAACACATTTATTTGAATGAAGTGAGCAAACCATTTATTAAATCTCTTTTAAAATCATATTATATTTTTATATTCATGTTTTAGAAACCAGGACTGCGCCACACGCCTCCTTTTACATTTGTTTCAAATGTAATTGTATAGAAATAAAGCACACTGCAGACAGAATACAGATCTACTTAAGTAAACAGAGACAATACAGACAACAACTGCATTCATACATTTAGGTTCAACGCTATTGTGTATCAGTTATGAAACTATTTTTATCAGATGATCTATATCAGCCATAAGCTGCCCTGCTCTGTAAAAAATGGCACCAGCTTTAACAGAAACACAACTGTCCACCTGTACTCCAAACCTTCCATTATAAACGTGTCATCACAGGTTTACTAAACACACTAAACATGTACTATGACTAGGGAAGACACTTGTTCAAAAACACTACAATACACCAGTTTTGCATCATAGTTTGAACTCATGAGAAGTCTGCTTTTTTCCAGATATTGATTCTGTCTCTTAAATGTTTCGTTGTGTTTTCAGGTTTTGCTTATCAGAGACGAGTTGCCCTCAAGAGGACAACTACCCAAACAGTCTTTGTATAAAGGTCAATGGGAAACTTTTCCCTCTGCCAGTAAGTGCTTTCTTCTTCTCCAGAAGTCAATCCAACCTAAGTCATCCCCATAAAGACGCTCACAAAGCATTTGATTCTCGCAGGGTTATGCACCACCACCAAAAAACGGTGTGGAACAGAAGAGACCGGGAAGACCTCTCAACATCACCTCTCTTGTCCGCCTCTCCTCCGCCGTACCCAATCAGATTTCAGTGACATGGGCACCTGAAATTGGAAAAGTGAGAATATTTTATATTATTCAAACACTTTATACTGTATTTTCCTGTGCTTGAGTTGGACATTTTGGGTCATTAACAGTGCATTAGATTCCGTAAAGGTTGTTTTAATGTTTTACAGACGTACTCCATGTCTGTGTACCTGGTGAGGCAGCTGACATCCCCACTGCTCCTGCAGAGGCTGAGGATGAAGGGCATCAGAAACCCAGACCACTCCAGAGCACTGAGTGAGTGCACAGTGAAACCCTTCAGTGTGGCAGACTACATGCCATTCAGCAGCACTTTCTCACAACTTGTTGAAAGCCAGTCTGGAGTGGGCCCCTGGGGATGACTGTGAAGTGTATTTTCACTTTGGTTTTTGCATATTGTATATACCGGTGTATATATATATATTTTTTTTTAAATGAATCATTTTGTTTCCCATGCCCTCTGTGTTCCAGTTAAAGAGAAGCTGACAGCAGATCCAGACAGTGAGATTGCTACAACGAGCCTTCGAGTCTCACTCATGTGCCCGGTAAATGAAGCATCCATGTTCAATGTTTATGTGACTTTTAAATAGCAAGTTTTTAATTATTCTGACCCTGAGACGCTAGTCAGGAACAAGAGTACCTTTAGTGAAATACTCATTCCACCAAGATGCACCACAGAGCGCCACAGGAAGTCCTTCCTGCCTGTGGCCATCAGACTCTTTACTCTGTCAGGGGCAAGCCCCCAGGAAGTGTGGCCGATGTTGGAGCCAATTTCCGTAGTGACCAAACAGCGGTAGTTGTGCCCATTGATCTGATCACAGAATAATCATGGATTACTTTCTGCCACAAGTTCTCATTAAGATACCACTGGGGGGTGCCAAAGTCTGAAGAATTCAATATAGGGCTGTGCGATTATGGCAAAAATCATAATCATGATTATTTGGGTCAATAATTGATATCACGATTATTAAATACGATTATTCATTGACTTTGAAAAAATCCATTTATTGAACTTTAAAACAAATACAAATAATAATTTGAACAGTATCTTTTCTGTATCTAACTGTTGATTACCCTGAACGTATAATTCAACTGAAAAACCAATACAAAAATAAATAAAATAAATGATACATTTATATAAATAATATCAAAATAATAAATACCAATAAACAAGATCAACAAATATTTTGGAGCGCACTTCAACAAGCTACTAAACATATGTAAATATGATAAATACAAATAAATTAGACTAAAATTAATTAGATCAAATATGTTGCAGTGCACTGTCACAACCTAGCAAAGCTAAATAATTGTCTTTTTCGATTATGTTGTTTTCGTAATTGTGGCAGGCCAAAATCGTAATTGCGATTAAAATACGATTAATTGCACAGCCCTAATTCAATATACATACCATGATCACATTTAAAAAGTACAAAGGCTGGAGAGCATCTTCGCCTAAAACCAATAAATGAGCACTCCCTTCAGAAGTCAAGTTATATTGGTTTTCATGACAGAATTATTAGATTCAATTCATTTTGCCATCATGTCCATTGTGTTAATGTTACGTAGACCTTTCCACTTGTTACATTACAAATAGATAATGCCATGTAAGGAAAACTGCATGAATTGAACCAAGCATTTCCTAAAGGCATGTGTCCTGACTGACCTGTGTGTTTTGTCCTCCAGCTGGGTAAGATGCGCCTGACGGTGCCGTGCCGGGCGGTGACCTGCTCCCACCTGCAGTGCTTTGACGCGGCCCTGTACCTACAGATGAATGAGAAGAAACCCACCTGGATCTGTCCTGTGTGTGACAAGAAGGCTGCGTACGAGAATCTCATCATCGACGGGTCAGTTCCCTTCATTGGACCACATCACACACCTGCTGCTTCTACATTCAGATTGTGATACAAAAGATAAAACAAGTTATTAAAGCTGGGCAGAACAATTCCTAATATCCCTACTTCACCATAAAATGGAAAAAATCAGCGTAATAATAATCTTTATTTGTATAGCACCTTTCATACAAGAACTGCAGTTTAAAGTGATTCACAGTAAACGTTTGACGTCTCTTAAAAAACTCACAGAAAATGGATATAACATAGAATACAGTTACCAGTAAATTACATAAAAACAAAAAATAGCATAGAAAAGACGTAAAAACAATGGATTAAAGGTCTGACAATATAATTGTGCATTAAAAGGAGGATAGTGGAAATACAACACAAAATCAGATGACAGTTTAATATGTGTAAGAGTGCGTTGAGCAAGTGCAGCAGAGAGCAGGAGTTAGCTTCCTAAAGGCTAAATTGTACAAATATGTTTACAATACATAATTTCACTGAGCAGGCTAGTGTTTAAAATACAAGGTTCAAGGTTCTTTATTTGTCAAACGAACATAGCTACAGTGTAGTTATGTCGATGGAAATCTTGTGTCACAGGCTTCTCCAACAGAGCAACACAAAACACAGATAAACAGAAAAATATAGTGCAAGTAAATAGTAAATACAAGAAGAAAAATAGTTTAAAAAAAGTGAAATAGTGCAATAAGAGTCTATATGCAAGTCATTGAAATATGATATATTAGGTAATAGATAAATAATTTTTAAGTAGCAGCCAGATGAATATTGTGGATGTTGTTTCAACAGTTCAGGTGTTTAACAGTCTTATTGCCTGTGGGAAATACACACAGTTTCTCACCATTATAGTCAATAATGTAGTCATATGTATTCTAAATATAGATTCACTTAGCCGATACAGATCATCTGGAGTGATATTGGGATATTGGGCAAATTCTAACCTCGACTTTTATCGACCAAATTAAATCTGATCAAAATCGGATCCTTTCTTTATGTGACATGATTTGTCCCGCCTGCTAGTGTTGCAGTGCTACTGTCTTTAGTGACAGCCAGGCTCTACACTGCGAGCATGTCACTGCATAGTTTCACTCTCCATAATGTAATATATATACGTTCAGTTTTTGGATTAAGCAGCATGTAAAAAAAAAAGATTTCTCACATTGAGAGGGTTGCACATGTAATTCCATATGTGATACAGTCTGCATCAACATTAAGAAGTATTGGAGAAACACAACATTGAAGGTTCAGGATTGGAACGTGCTTGGAACATCCCTTTTTCTAACACAAGTATCAATAGGTTTGACATGTATCATTTCGGTGTAATCAATTGGGACATTCCTCATGCTCATGCATATTGAAATTCACTTGATATGTAGAAGTCTTAGGTGCTTGCCCCACGGGAACGCATACGGCCGTTTGCGTAACTGTTTAGTGTCATATAGACCGTTCTGCCACACTAGGACGACCGAATATGGCAGTAAACAACTGCGGTAACGATAACGGGTCCCAAGGTGGATAGAACGGCATACGCAACGCTCTGGGGGGTCCAACGGCTCCGTGTGTAGGACCTATACGATCATTTTGTGATAATGATGTCGCAATAGCCCTGCCTCCCCCCACCTCTGCTGCTCACCCCCGCAAAAGTAAACTGCACACTGAATTCTGATTATTTATCTTTATCTCGATATGGACATAAACGCGAGTGAAGTCTAATCTGACAGGACGGAGACACGCAGCTCCTCCCGCTGTGATGCAGCGGGAGGAGCTGCGTGTCTCCGTCCTAGCAAAACACACACTTCAAGAGTTACTGTCGGCCGGGTCACTCATTACTGGATCAGCTGCTGCATGAGACAGACACTGACGCTGATGAAGATTTAAACTTTTACACACGTTGACCGGCGAAAAACTCTGCCCGGTTCCCTCGGCCCCCACCACGGTGAATAAACAGAAGGGCAACCATGACAACCATGCTTCTTCGCTGCTTTTGTGGAGGAAGTTACAGCGCCACGTACAGGCTCGGCATATGTACTGCAGCCTTTTCCAGTGGTTGGAGCTAAACGGAGCTGTCTCGTGTGAACAGACACTATCCGGTGTATATTGCGTGTGGACGGAAGCTTTTTTGCGATTGCGTTAATCCTATGCGTTTTGCCGTATGCGTTCCCGTGGGGCAAGCACCTTAAATGGCTCAAGGTAATGAAAGTCGTGTGTCAGAACTAGGGCTGTCAAGTTAACGCGTTAATAACGCGTTAACGCAAAAAAAAATTAACGCCACTAATTATTTTAACGCGATTAACGCATGTGTATTTTTTGTCCTCGGCCGCCGTAGTTTCAGAGCGCATCGAGTGTAAAATACCATCGACAAGCTGATGCTGACAGCCCCGCTCCTGCCGCCCGCTTGTGGCAGACCACACTTCCACGCTCACTGGCAGGCCCGGACTGGCCATCGGGAGGACCGGGAGGGAGTGTGTATGTGTGGCGCGACTCGCGCGAGCGAGGCACACCTTACGTGTTGTTGTTAGCATCTGGTGCTAGCTAGCTGCGCTAACGGATATAAGGAGCTGTTTCAATGACATTTCGCCGACAACTGCGCCGAGCACTTGACTTTATGCAGGTAGCCAGACAGTGTGACATTGTACGAAAAGTCAGCACACTCAGCATGGATAGTACGCGCAACATTATTGCAGCGTCCAGGCAGCTCCCATTCGAGCATATATGCCTTGAGCTGCACATAGCTCAACGATCCATCACAGTGTCTCCACACACACACACACACACACACACACACACACACACACACACACACACACACACACACACACACACACACACACACACACACACACACACACACACACACACACACACACACACACACACACACACACACACACACACACAGTATTATTGTATGAGAGAGGTTCCAGGTTGAATATTTGTAATGTTCAGGTTGTTGTGTTTAATATTCATGAGAATATTTGTCATTGTTCAAATGATAATAAACAAACATATAAAGCATATTTGTCCACTCATATGTTGATAAGAGTATTAAAACTTGAAAGATATCCCTCTAAGGTACATTTAGAACAGATAAAAAATGTGCGATTAATTTGCGATTAATCGCGATTAACTATGGACAATCATGCGATTAATCGCGATTAAATATTTTAATCGACTGACAGCCCTAGTCAGAACCTGAGAAACCCACCAATGAAGTCCACCTGACCAGTTAGTGGCCCCTGCTATAAACTGGTGATTGAAGGGATTTGTTCTTTGTTCAGTCTATTCCTGGAGATCCTGAACGACTGCTCCGATGTGGATGAAATCAAGTTCCAGGAGGACGGAACCTGGTGTCCCATGAGACCCAAAAAAGAAGCCGTCAAAGTTCCCTCACAGTCGATTTCAAAAGTGGACAGTAAGTACATCATCCTGTACCCGAGCAAGGTTTGAAATGATCCTACCAACAAAATGTTGTCACTAACCGATTTGTTATGCGCCTGTGCCAAAATGCTGCTAAATCCCATGATGCTTACTGAAATATGTTGAAGCACTTTACGTTTTTTCTGGGATTTAAATAAAATAATGTTATCTTTGGTTGGACTTGTTATGTAATAGAAGTCATTTCTGTTCAAGCGTTCCATAAACTTCTGAGTTTAGGAAAAAACGGAAAAAATCCATGATATCGGGGGAGTTGTTTTTTTAAATAACTTAATTGAATAAAAAAGGTTACAACACCAACATAAAAAAAAAAGCTCATCCATGTTCATATTAGGGATGGGAATTTGAAAGCAAATTTATATTCGAATATTCAACCCCCAAAAAAACGGTTAACCGATTAACCCAAATGTACATATCCTATATAAAAAAAAAAAAACATTTAAATTTTTGAAAAATAAATAAATACATGTTCAAATAAGTATAGAAACCAAGTCGAATTTGTCAAATGTATTGAACTGGTGATCACAGTTTGAACAGTTGACAGCTATAGGCCTACAGCTTTCATGCTTAAAACATAACTTGGTTTTTAAATGAAAGAGGGATCATACACGAAGAACATAACGGGTTAGGGTAACGTAACCCTATTACAACAGAGATCAACAACCTATAACAGGGCCTATGCTCAGGGGAGAGGCGGGTGCGGAGGCGATTCACATTCAGGCCAGCTGTAGAGAAGACCCTCTCAGCTGGAATTTGGGCATAAGATGAGGTTTGAGTCTGCGTGATCTGCGTGTAGGGAGGGGCAGCAGCCATATCATTAGCTAGTACTAGCTAGATCTGATGGATTTGGACATAAACACGAGTGAAGTATAACCGGGCGCGAGAGAGAGAGATCAGCACCTGCAGCTCTGCCCGCTGTGAGGGACCGGTGAGCGGAGCAAAACACACCTTTAGACCTAACACATTTAGCTATGGCACTGTTGTATACATTGAATTATTCCATTTGATCATATGTAATCAACTTAGGCACCCCTCCCAAAAAAATATATTCATAACTCATATTCGAATACCTGAATAATTTCGAATATTCGATTAATCGTTCCCATCCCTAGTTCATATGCTGACATGAAACTGACGACATTATAGACAAAAAAAACACAAAAAGAAAGAGAAAAATAAATAGATTGAACAACAACAACAACAACACAAGTGGTCATTCAGGTGCATAGATATTGGTTATTTTGCAGGGCTTTTTTAATGTTGCTAAATTGTATAGATTTTTCATAAAGTATTCTGTTATAAATAATTCAATAAATATGGGAGACATTTTGAGGGAACGGCATTTAGTTTGTAATATTTTGCCAATATTATCAAGTTATTATTTCCAAATTCAGTTTTTTGTTCTCTATTTGAAGGCCATTTCATATTTCATATACACTGAAAAGTATAAGAATCAATCAATCAATTTCGCGCAGAACAAACCGGGTTTCCGATACGGCTCAGGCGGCGACATGTGTTTATCAAAGCCTGACATATCTTCTTCCTCTGGGCTATTGATCATAAGAATATTTGTAAGATTACGTTTGTTTTGAGAATTCAATAGGGTGCAATGGGCTTGGAGCTGAGAGCCACAGACAGAAAGCCAGAAAGGGACAGACATTGTTGGTTTGGTCTCTTCATGGGAATTACTGTCAATAATACAAATCTATGTTGGTCTGAACCTTTTAGCGTCAGCTCCTTCGCGCCAGTCTGCAGTGGTCCCCCACTCCACTGAGCCCAGCACCACCAAGAAGGCAGATGTGATCGATCTGACTCTGGAAAGCTCGTCCTCCTCTTCCTCTGATGAAGAGGACTCGGACCCTCCCCTGAAGAAACGCTGCATTTACATTTCCAAGACTGAGGAGATGCATCCGAAGGGGTGAGCAAGCCTGTCTTTGTCCTTTTCTAGAACCATAAACAGACATGCCTTGACCAAATCTGCATTTAGCTGACATTTGATGCATGGGCCATGGGGAAGCCACAGTATTTGTCGTAGTGGTCCACAATATTTACAATACATTAGTCACTATAACGACAGCAGGAAACAAACAAAAGGCCCTTTCACACGGCAGTACTTTTCCCACAAAGGTTCATCTGTACTTAGAGAACTAAAGAGTTCTCATGAACTAAGTACAGATCGCGTTCACACCGGAATAAGTCCCTGGGGGAGGATTAGGGAAATGAAGCCGCTGACGTCACTTCTTGTCCGGCAGTCGCCGGTTCAAGTCCCCGACCAGACTTAAAAATGGAGTGTGGACTGCTACTTGGAGAGGTCCCAGTTCACCTCCTGCCCTGCCGTGGTGCCCTTGAGCAAGGCACCGGACAATCCCCTTCCCCCCTCACTCCCATTGCTCCCCGGGCGCTGTACAATAGCTGAATACTAGACTCCTGGTCTAGTACCAGGAGTCTAGTACTAGACTCCTGGTACTAGGATGGGTTAAAACCAGAGAACACATTTCACTGTGTGTGCTGTGTGCTCTGCATGTGTGACCATTAAAAGGGGTTCATCCCTCCCCTATATTATTATTATTATTATTATATTCTTCTTCTTCTGCTTTGGGTTTACTGGCAGGCCGCAAACAACTTCACGGCGTATACTGCCGCCCGAAGTCCCCGGCCGGAAGTCCCCGGAGTTGGGGACTGGCTTCAGTAGAACCGCTCCCATGTTTTATTTTATTGTGTTGCCATAAGTTAGTCTCTCTGCGTTTGTGCGCTGGGCTAATGCCCAAGCAAGCTTAAATGTCATGTCTTCAAAACAAAACACAGACCATTTTGTTCGCCTGTTGAAACAAACTGAAAACAGGTCACTTTTATGAGAAAAACCACAAAGGTGGCTGAGAGATCTCAGAAAGCTAATTACTAAGTAGCTGAACTCATAGCCAAATTGAAATACTTTCAATTCAATTCTTATTATATATATATATGCTCTATTAGGTTACAATTGGTCATTTTGTAACTTTTGGTTATTGGTTTGCAGCAGGACTTTTTTTAATGTAAAAAATGTACCTCAAAAAGTTTGTATGCTATGGAGTAAATCATGTACTCATACAAGACTATGTGCATGCATAAAATACAATTGACACTGTTACCCCCCCCTTTATGTTGATGTTCTGTTTTGTTTGTTCATGTGTGTGAGCATTATCCTTGTATCAAACTGCTGTCTTTCCTGTTATGTATGTCTTTGAAAATATACCCTCAAATCTAAATGAGAATAACAAAATGTCGGACACACAGTCACAGTAATGCTTGTTTCATCTCAGAGTGTTGACCTACCAGCCCACTGTGCGCGTGCCAAATGTCCAGGCCCTGGACCCGTCCTACCTGAGCTCCACGCTGGCTGACTATACAGTCCCCTTCCACCCCTCCACCCTGGCCTCCATCCCCACTGACATGCAGAGTGAGTCGGGGTGAAGGGACACTGACCTCCAGCCATATCCCCACTGCCCACTGTTAACCTGCTCTCTCTCTCCGACAGGTCTGGATCTGTTTTCCTTAATCCAAGCAGATCCTCAGGTGAGTTTTCTACTGTGATCACATTCTCTACAGAGGTGGAAGAAGTACTCAGATATTGTACTTAAGCATCCAATTAAACGTATACATTTTATAAAATAAATATTATATTGACCCCTAGTATAAAACTGCACTTTATAACATTTCACTGTCATTCCTTTTAAAATGTTGACTTTGCCGTTCAGTTTCCTTTCTTTTTTTGTATCAACAATCAATAAGAGTGTATTTGAGAAGTATACTGAAAGCTACCTGAAAGCACAACAGAGTGGATATTAATATCTGTTCATTAATAACAAGTACTAGTTATCACCATATTCAACGCCTATGTCCCTATTAGATATATCTGACATATCAATATAACAGCTGTAGCAACCTGACTTACATTTTATTTCACCCAAGCTAGTTGATTCATATTCAAAAACTACTACTTCCATTTTGTACATTTTCATAATATTCTCCTCTCGGTAAAATAAAGGAGGACAAAACCAGAAAATACGATATCAAAATAAAAACCTATAAAATAAAAACAACATAAAAATGATAACTTAATGATAAGAATAAAAACTAAATCAATAATAGGAATAATAAAGATTAAAAGACCAATTAAAAATGTGGTGTCTCTAATAAAAAGCTAATTTAAAAAGATGTGTCGTTAGCAGTCCAGTGAGTAAGCCTGACTCGGCTCAGATGGATACAAAAAAAGAGGGTGAAGTTGGAATTGTATCTTAGCAGCTTAAATATTCTTTGAGTGGACTTTAATAAATGATTATTGTTTCTTCCCGTCAGCATTATCGGCCGCAGATGTTCCTGGACAACCTGGCCAGCAGCATGCAGAGTGCAGCCAGCACCTCCTCCGCCCTGGTGTCCTCCTCCAGCAGCCACTACGACACCAGCTCCCACGCTGCCAGCTCCCTCCACGAGACCCGGGTCATCACTGGAGGAGGGGGGGGCGCCGGAGGGGGGGCTGACAGCGGCATTTCAGATATCATTTCACTAGACTGAGCCACGTCTCACTGGACCTCTCCAGGCCTGTTTTCTGTGGCCTTCTCAGTGTGCACTACGCGAACATGCCATGTAGAATTTTCCACAGAAGCACCCAAATTGGTATACATGAGCACTTTGATGATCTGAGCATTTTAACGGTGTAAAAAACGGTATCCAGGCATGTTCCTTTTTGCCATTGGGGTTCTTCAAAAGGGTTTTGCACACACGATGATACATAATTTGATGGCCAAAGACAACATTGTGAGTCAGTGTATTGCCATCTCTCTTGACCAAGTACTCATCTCTTGGTAGCTGTGGTTCAGGAGGCAGTGATCAACCCCCCCCCCCCGCCTGCAAACAACAAGAACTGTCATCTGGCAAGATAGTGAGCCCCATATTGCCAACGATAGCATGGCCAACAGTGTGTGAGTCTGTGTGCACGAATATTTATCACTCCTGATGAGCAGGTGGCACCTTGGATGGCAGCCCTCTGCCTCTGTATGAATGTGTGTAAATGGGTGCTGACGTGTTGTAAAAGCGCTTTGAGTGGTCCCAGAGACTGGAAGATCCGTATACAGCAGTGGAAGAAATTAAGAAACCACTTCTCAATCTCTACATGTATGGCAGCCGTTCCAGTCTAGTGTCCGTTGAAGTCCAACACAGATAAATGTGGTCAGTAGCTTATAGAACAAAACAAAAACTCAAACACATACCTATAAAAAGTCAAACCAGAGGTATTGATAATGCTGCAGTGGTATCTTGTTTTTTTCCAGAGCTGTACATGCAGTTCATTTATTAGACTTTAGGAAATATTCTCATGTGCTCTTTAACCTCACATGCTCACATTTCAAACTGAATGATACATTTGATCATGCATCATCATTATGAACTGAACATCTAGTCTTTTGGCCATCCTTATTTTCTTATTTATGTGAATAAAAGATTTTTTTCCGGCAGATTGATAAATATCTGTAATTATTGGATATTTTTAGAACATTGAAATCTTCATTTATACCAATTTGTTGACTTAGAAAATACATGATGAAGTGAGCCTATAGTGACCTGGTTGATCTGCACTGTGCCTCAACATGGAACAGAGGCGGGCCGGATGGAAGGAGAGCTTGGACTCGTTGCTCAACTTGTTTCAAACATCCATGCTGGTGAATGAATTGTTAGAAGCAGGATGAAAAATACTTATGGACTGCTGAACAGACTGCTGACTGTAAACATAAAAGGCAGGTCGGTTATTCAAATGTTTTTTTTTATCGGTTCTACCAGCTGTTACAGAGCAGCCTTCAACGTTAAATTGTTCCTTTGTAATTTAGTCAGAGCAATAATAATTGAATTAGCATTAGGTAAACAAAGTTGTAAATGTAGTTCAGATACTCAGTAAATGATTCCAGTTGGTTTCCACTCTGCCTCCCGAATCCATCCCCTCACTTTGTGTGCGGTCAAGTTATTGGCCCAGTTGCTAAAAAATGTTTGCCGATCCAAATACACTCTTTTGCCTTCTTTCAGAGATTGAAATGATCAGATGGATATCAATACCATCTGTCTAAGTACAGAGCAGGAGTCAGGGCGTGGCTAAACTAGCTTAGCATGACTGGAAGCGGAGCGAAACAGCTAGCTTGGTCTGGAGCTCAATACTTGGCTATCCTTACCTCTCTAAAGATCACAGATAAACATGCTCTGTCCCATTTCTTTTCTTCTGACACAAACAGAAATGTATGAACCCTGAAGTCTTATTTCACGGGGCATTATGTGCTGCCCCAGGCTAGCTGTTTCCAGTCCTTAAGGTAAGCTAGGCTAACCAGGTCTGGACTCCAGCTCTGTGCTTTAAACAGGCATGAGAACCTTTCATCTAAGTCTCAGAAAGAAAGACAAGTGTATTTCCCAAAATATTAAACATTCATTCCAATTTTCTCACAAATCATCATTGTGAGACGTTTTTTTGGAGTTCGACTTAATGTGGATAATAGAGTTTTGTTGCAAAACATCCCAAAAAGTTAGGTTAATACTGCCGTATCTTCTTCTCTTCAGTCACTCTGTAAATGTTCTGAGCTGCATCTGTTCAGATTGTATTGTATGCTGATGATGCTGTGTTGTTGGACAGGGATGGATGGATTGAACATTACCTTCGCTAAGTCTCAACACCTACTACATATAGGCCACTTTCTCACATCATGCAGTAAACAGGGCAGCTACTGAACTCTACACTCCTACTTTATCAGGATGGCTTGCTGTGCATGTGGACTCCAAGCCATCAGGAGCTCAATCTCAGGGACCTGCTCTCCACTTTTATGAGTGAAAAGATACTGGCATATAGAAACAACACTGTCAGTATCTGGAAGTGAAATACAGATGATGATGAGACTAATGAAGTTTATTTTTAGGTCTGTGTATTTGTTTTATTCATGTTGGCAATTTAAAAGCTGTGATAAAGATCAGTTCACCCAAACTACACAAAGAAATCCCACTTAGCTCGATGGTATCCACTCTCGAGATCTGACAATACATCTCTATAGGGACAAATAACCAATACGTCTGGGGATTTACGAGGCATTGTGGGCTGCCCCAAGCTAGCTGTTTCCAGTTGTTATGCTAAGCTAGGCTAACCAGGTCTGGACTCCAGCTCTCTGTTTCCCAAAATGGTAAACTGTTCCTTAAAATGGTTTGTTCTTCTTCTCCACTAGGAGGCAATAGGAGGTTCAAGGAGTCTTTAACGGAACTTTCAGAAACTGTGAAACTATGATATCTACGTCTTCATTCATTGGATTGTGATGGAGGCAAAGATATCTCAAAACCTGGAACAATAAAATGCACTCTCTGCATGGAGAGATACCACTGGTGACAGACGAGATGTCTTTGTCATTTTGGGAAACCACAGTTGAAAAAAGTCCAGATTCAAACATGGCCTTTATACTCACACAGAAGGGTGGGAAGGGTTTAAGTTCTCTGTTTTATGAAATGACTGATAATACTTTTGAAAAGTTAACTGGCAGATGTTGGTCATGTGGATTTGTATTGTGTACCCTTCATTCTTTATGGGCTTTGAAACACAATCCAGATCATTTTTCCTTTGACCCCATGTTAACGAAGTACTCTTTGCTTCAGATTTAGGTTCATTACAGGATGATTTATTACAAAATTGTCTTTGTTTTCCTGTATTGTAAACTTGACATGTGTTGGTGTTTTTGTATAATAAAAAATTACTTTTTTTGAATCAGCTAATATCTGTTTATTATTCCTGGAAGTGAACCAGCTCCTCACTATCAGTGAAATATAAGACGTAATGTGTAGGAGGAACACTTGAGCTCCTCATTGATCACATGGTTTAAAATGAACCAATCAGACGCAAGGATTTAACCTTTCCTGCCCCATCGCTCAAAAACAATATTAAGTTATTCCTAATGAGTAATCCTAATTTAAAGCAGGATGGATATTCTGAAGTGTTCACAGATGAATACGTTTGGTAAATGATCCTGCTGGATTGTATAGTCCCAGGTCTTGTCCTAGTGTTTAGGAAGTCATTGAGTTTGAGAAAAGTGAAGAATGTTCTCCTTCTGCAGTTTGATAATTATGAACCGTAGACAATGCTTTTGGATTTCAGGTCTGCTGTTTTTCATTGAAAATAGTCTCAGTCTGAGCCTCACTACAAACAGAGTTGAGAAAAAGCTGCTCACCTTATCCAAATCAGAGCAGTGAAACCTAAATATTACAGTGTGTGGGTCTGGGTCTGTAATGCACGAACATATGAGCGTACGATGTCGCTGTTATTTCAAACGTGCGCTTGTTTTGTTTTTTTAACAGTTTGGTTCTATATTCGATTTGATACATTTGTTTTGCCATAGCATATAGGGATTAGGTTAGATTAAACCTTACTGTCATTGCACAGACTATAAGTACTAGGACAACAATAGGGATGTGTATTGTTAAGAATATGTATCATGATACATTGGTTACCATTTAAACTACTATGATACTCTAAGCAAGTCATGTATAGCTATTTTTTATTATACATTTAGAAAGAAATATATAGTATAAAGAACACACAGTAAACAAAGGAGTCCAATGGAGGTGTTTCAGTCAGGGGGGGAGTGTGTGGGAGAGAAACTCCCTCTGGAGGGAACACAGGGATTTTAGCCTTTGCAGACCGTTTACATGCACAGAAACCTATAGAACACACTACAGGAAAGGAAAATCCAAAAAAACAGAATATGACACGGTATGACCCTCAATTACAGTATATTGCAAAACACAAGTGTATCAATATGTTCTTACAGTCTTTATTGCACACAGTAAGTTCAATAGAATCAGAGGGATGAAACCCTCTATAATGGTCACACATGCAGAGCACACAGCACACAGTGACATGTGTTCTCTGCTTTTAACCCATCCTAGTACCAGGAGTCTAGTACTAGGAGCAGTGGGCAGCTATTGTACAGCGCCCGGGGAGCAATGGGAGTGGGGGGGAGTCCGGTGCCTTGCTCAAGGGCACCACGGCAGGGCCCAGGAGGTGACCTGGGACCTCTCCAAGTAGCAGTCCACACTCCGTATTTACGTCTGGTCGGGACTTGAACCGGCGACCCTACAGCTCACAGTCCAAGCCCCTACTGACTGAGCCACTGCCGGACAACTGTAACGCAGCGTCCACACGGTGGCGTGCGTTGAAGCTTGCAGGTGGGCGTGTCTGAAACTCGACCAACAACCAATCACACGAATCTCCCGCCCCGGATACAAGGGCACGCGGTTTGATTGGCTAGAGCTTGTACTGGCATATGATTTGATTGGCTGACGCTTCCGTCGAAGCTTCAAAAGTTGAACATTGCTCAACTTTTGAAGCGAGCAACGCGTAGCAACGCGTAGCAACGCGTAGCAACGCTCCCACAATGCAGTTCGGCGAAGCGTGACGTCACCCCATTCAAAGTGAATGGGCAGAAGCGTTGAAGCTTCAACGCACGCCGCCGTGTGGATGGGCCGTAACATCTACAGGATAGTAGCAAAAGTACTTACTGTAACGGAAAAGGTCAAAGGTCGAGTTTTTAGCTCGTGTGCTGAGATGGTCTTCCTCTGTGTTCCCCTCTCTAAATGTCCTCGTCACAGGGGGGCCCGGTTCCAAATCGACCCCTTCACACTAGCCCCTCCAACTTCCACTCCGTTTTGCGTTTGTGCTGTTCCAAAACAACTATTGTGGAATGGGAGTGGGTTATCAATCCCTCCAACAGGAAGTTATTAAACCCTACAACAGGAAGTCTGCATTGGTCCTGACCAGTGTTGGGATAGTTACTCAAAAAACTAATGCATTACACATTACTAGTAAAAAAATAATGCCTTACTTTACTATTTTACTCAGTGCTGAAAGTAATTAGTTACATTACTTGTGGATTACTCTATAACATCGCCTGATAAGCACCACAAATCAAATAATATCAAGTTAAACCTCATTTCTGCCAGATCAGCACAAACCCTTAATCTAATAAGGACAGCACTGATCACAGAGCTCTGTTTCTGCTCTTTGTCTGAACATCTGTTTCTGTAGCTCAGTTATCAGAGCATGGTCCAGGTAGCTTTTTCCGTAAAAGTACATGACTAATCATTGAATTGTAATGGAGTACAAAGTAGCAAAACATGGAAATACTCAAGTAAAGTACAAATACCTCAAAATTGTACTTAGATACAGTAGATCTACCTAGTTTCTTTACACCACTCCCAAAATGACCTCCTGTCAACTGTAGGGAAATGCTGTTTTATATCTTTGAGAAACGGTCAGGGGCTATGAGGCCAAATTAATCATTGAACACTCAACATGTCAGGTCAGATGACAACCAAAGAGCAGGCTAGGACTGCAGGTCAGGAAATATGGGGAAGGCAAAACATGGGGAAAGTCAACGTGGGAAATCAGACTGGAGCATCAGAGTGAGTGAGTGAAGGCTGAGGGTGAGGGAAGGTCAGGGCCATCCTCAGGTGGGGGTTCGCTGGCTGTCAAACAGCAACACTACAGAAACAAAACTCAGCATGACTTTAAGGGAATATGTGTAGCATTGTGTGGCTTAAATTCTCCTTGTGAATGCACCCTGTCACCTTCAAATGGACCGCGATATATATCACTTTGTCCCAATGCACTCCACAGTTTACCTGCCAGGACCAGGGGCCCACACACACTGAACTCCTGGAGCAGAACGCAGCCACATGGTTAGCACAGGTGGGAAGTAACTAAGTACATTTACTATAGTACTGTACTGGAGTACAATTTTGAGGTACTTGTACTTTACATGAGTATTTTTCCTTGAATGCTACTTTGTACTTCTTCTCAACTACATTTAAAAGGGAAGTTGTGTAATCATTTTACTCCACTACATTTATTTAATAGCTTAAGTTACTTTTAACAAAATGCATCTCTAAATATTAAACTAGTGGACTAACTCTTTAAGTTACAAAAGAGTCAAATAATTTCAATATTTTATAAAAAATCCATCAGAACTTTGTTTCTCTACAACAACTCGACACTTGATGCAACAATATTATCTAGTAATGTTACATATATAAATATAATGATATACACACATAAAGGCTCTTTTCTGCACAATGATTACTTTGACCTATCTGCCTTTTTCCACCTCACAAACATCGCCCGTCTCCGCCCATCACTCTCCTCCTCTGCTGCTGAAACCCTGATTCATGCATTCATCACATCACGACTCCACTACTGCAATAGCATCCTCTACGCGGCATACCATCCAACCTCCTCAACAAACTCCAACATATCCAGAACTCTGCTGCCTCACCCACACCCGCTCCCGAGACCACATCACTCCCGTCCTCCAGAACCTCCACTGGCTCCCCGTCTGTCAAATAATCGACTTCAAAGTCCTCCTCATAACGCACAAAGCCCTCAACAACCAGGCCCCCCCCCTACCTCACAGACCTGCTGCACCACCACACCCCTTCCCGCTGCCTCCGCTCATCAGAAGCCAACCTCTTATCCCTCCTCACCTGCATCGAGCACCGGACCTGGGGGGACAGAGCCTTCTCTGTCGCTGCCCCCTCCCTCTGGAACTCACTCCCACAACCCATCAGAGACTACACTGACCTCACCACCTTCAGAAACGTACAAAAACTCAACTCTTCAATCTGGCTTTTAATGTGTGATTGTGTTTGTATTGCTTGATTTTAATTTGACTTTAAAGGGCCCATGTCATGGCCATTTCCACTGATCATAATTACATTGTTGAGGTATACTAAAATAGATTTATACTGTGCAATTTTCCAAACTCACATTGGTTTCGCATACAGCATCTCTGTCAAGCATGTGTATTCAGCAGTATTCACTCTCTCCACTAAACGACTCGTTGGAGCTCTTGCCCCCCCCTCCCTGTGAGCCTAGTGTGCTCCGATTGGTCAGCTCGGCCACTCTGTTCTGATTAGTCAACCACCAGAGAGGCTCCGCCCGCTTTTTTCGGGGGAACATCAGTCTTATAATGGCGTCGGTACAGCCGTATATTTTATACGCTAACTAACCGAACTGTACCTACAACTGTTGTTATAGAAGAGTGTGACGGCCCCAGGGCCTTTGTGCAGGTGTGTTGCAGGTCTTACGGTGGGGTGGAGCTGAAGAGGCTAATCAGCGCGATCACGGACACCTCCGTAGCCGAGGTGCTATTAAGCCCAGCTGCCGGAGTCACACGCATACTTGCCAACCCTCCCGATTTTCGCGGGAGACTCCCGATTTCATTGCCCTCTCCCGGTTTCCTCCTGGGGTCATATTTCTCCCGCATTTCTCCCGATTTCTGACAAAATCAGATTTACTCAGGACTGTTTCCACTCGGACTTTAATACAGCTACACCATTGTTTGGTTTCCATGGTAGCGCGTCTCTTTAGTAGCGCGCGCAACTGAAAGTCTGAGAGGGTCGGGAAAATAGTCACAGAACCAGAATCGACAACTCCACCCTCTGCTCACTCCTGTCCTTCACATATGCTCCATAAAGGATGGTGCGACAGGCCGCAAGGCAGTGCCCCCCCCCCCCCGCGGTGGTTTTGAAATGCTCCCGATTTCTGAGGTCTCAAGGTTGGCAAGTATGGTCACACGGCGGCCCGTCTCTCTCCAAAGCGGCTCGGCGATTCTCTCCCCTCGACCACCTATCTCTGCATTTCCCACAATAAATGTGCCGTGGTTTTGTAAACTCGTGTATGTCTCCTTGTCTTTCCGTTGTGGCCTACGAGCCGGT